ATCTCCACCTTTGAAACAAAGTGCTTTGTTTGTGGTACCCCGCAGATATCTGAGGATCCATTTGACTGCTTCCCAGTGTACCTTGCCCGGATTATTCATGTGCCTGCTAACAGCTCCCACTGCTTGAGCAATATCTGGTCTGGTACAAACCATGACATACATCAGACTTCCAATCGCTGAGGCGTACGGCACCTTCACCATGTGTGCACGTTCTTCCTCCGTCTTTGGTGACTGTTCTTTGGAGAGTCTGAAATGAACACCTAAAGGTATACTTACTGGTTTAGCATCTTGCATGTTGAACCTGGAGAGTACTTTGTTGATGTACTCAGCCTGTGATAATATCAAAGTCCCTGACTTTGTGTCTCTCTTGATCCTCATCCTAAGAATCTGCTTTGCAACGCCCAAATCCTTCATAGCAAACTGCTTTGACAATTTTTGCTTCAAGTTTATAATCTCTTGCATGTCTGAGCCTGCAACGAGCATGTCATCAACGTACAACAATAAAATAATGAAGCTATTGTCGAACCTCTTGATGTAGCAACAATGATCTGCTTGGCATCTGGTAAAACCACTGCTACTATGAAACTATCGAACTTCTTGTACCACTGTCTAGGAGCTTGTTTTAAACCATACAAGCTCTTCTTCAACCTGCATACCAGGTTTTTCTTGTCTGCCTCTATGAAGCCTTCTGGCTGCCTCATATAGATTTCTTCCTCCAAATCACCATGAAGGAAAGCTGTCTTTACATCTAACTGCTCAAGATGTAAATTCTCTGCAGCTACAATTTTCAACACCAGTCTGATTGTAGACAGTTTCACGACTGGAGAGAAAATTTCATTGTAGTCAATACATTTTTTTTGCTGAAAACCTTTGACAACCAATCTCGCTTTGTAGCGTTTGCTCCCATCGTGCTTTTCTTTGATCCTGTAAATCCACTTGTTGTGAAGCGCTTTCTTGTCTGGTGGTAATTCAGCTAATTCCCACGTCTGATTTGACAAAAGCGAGTCCATCTCATCTTTCATGAAGACTCCCACTTGACTGAATCCTCCACTTGCATTGCTTCATCATAGCACTCTGGTTCACCATTGTCAGTCAGCAACAAGTAGTGCAAAGAATGAGAATACCGTTGGGTTGGTTTAGGAATTCTGGAGGAGCATCTTAGTTCCGGTGTGCCTGGTTCTTCTTGAACTGCTTCAGGACTGATCTGAACATCATTTCTAGAAATCTCCTCAAACTCAGCAAATTCTTTGTTTCAGCTTTGGTATTGGAGCTGCTTGATTCTACAGTTGACCTGTCTTTGTACATCACATTCTCATTGAAAATGACATCTCTGCTTCTAATGATCTTCCGATTTTCATAGTCCCAAAACCGGTAACCGAACTCATCACCGCCGTAACCAACAAAGGCACATTTGTTGGACTTAGCATCAAGTTTACTTCTTTCAGCAGAGTCTATGTGTACATAAGAAATACAACCAAACACTCTTAAGTGTGAAAGGTTTATTTCTTTCTTGCTCAAAACTTCCTCTAGTATTCTGCCATCCAAAGGAACCGAGGGCCCACGGTTGATCAGGTAAGCTGCAGTGTTAATAGCTTCAGCCCATAGAAATTTGGGCAATCCGACATGTATCCTCATGCTTCTGGCACGTTCATTCAGAGTTCTGTTCATGCGCTCTGCTACGCCATTCTTCTGCGGTGTCATGGGAACTGTTGTCTCCATCTTGATCCCATTGTTTGCGCAAAAAATCTCTGAATCTCCTATTTCTGTACTCTCATCCATTGTCAGACCTCAACCGCTTGACTTTCATACCATTCTCATTTTCCACCATGGCCTTCCATTTTCTGAAGGTATCAAAGACTTCTGATTTTTTCTTCAGAAAATAAACCCACACCTTCCTTATAGAATCATCGATGAAGGTGACATAATATAATGAGCCTGCAAGAGATGGAACTGGAGATGGTCCCCATACATCAGTATGAACTAACTCTAACTTTTCAGCCTTGGGTGTCTTACCAATCTTAGCAAAGCTGACTTTCTTTTGTTTGCCAAAGATGCAATCCTCGCATAGTCCGACATCTACATTCTTTAGATCCGGCAGCTTCCCCTTTGACAAAAGTGTCTTCATCCCTTTCTCGCTCATATGGCCAAGCCTTTGGTGCCATAGGTTTGATTTTCCATCAACATCTGCTACTGCAATGATATTCTCTAAATTTGAGGTTACATAGAGAGTACCAGTCTTCTTACCACGAGCAATGATGAGTGCTCCTTTGGTAATCTTCCATTCACAACCTGAAAAGGTTGTAATGTATCCTTCTCCATCAAGCTGTCCTACAGAAATCAAATTTCTTTTGAGACCAGGAATATGTCTCACTCCTGTCAGCTTCCAGGTGGTCTGGTTTGGCAGCTTTAGTCGGATGTCTCCTTTTCCGACGATCTTCAAGGTTTCATCATCAGCAAGATGAACCTTCCCAAAATCACCACTGACATAGTTCTCCATGATTTCTTGGCATGGCGTGGAGTGGAAAGATGCCCCTGAATCCAAAATCCATGATTCAATCGGACTGTTGACGCTTAAAATCATGGCATCACCTGTCTCTTCCATCATGTTGGCAGATTCCTGTGCGCCGGTATTTTTCTTCAGTGCTCGCCAATCTCTTTTGAAGTGGCCCTTCTTGCCGCAATTATAACAGGTAAAATCTTTATTTCCTGTTCTTGATTCCCCCTTCTGGATTTCGATCTGCCACGATTTGAATTTCTTTCTAAAGTTCTCCCTCTGGACTCCGTGTGCAAGCTGAGGAGGTTGATGCTTCACCCGATTCTCTCCGTCGAATTTCTTCGCTCAGTACCAGATCCCGAACATCGTCGAATTTTAATTTGTTGTTTCCCGACGAACTGCTGACTGCTGTAAAGTAGCATTCCAACTGTCTGGTAAAGATGATAAGAGAATTAAAGCTCGAATTTCATCATCAAATTCAATTTCCACTGAACTCAACTGGGTTGTGATTGTGTTGAGTTCATTTAGGTGGTGTGCCACCGATGCCCCTTTCGTCATCCGCAAATTAAATAATCGCCTCATCAAATGAACTTTGTTTGAGACCGATAGTTTCTCATACATACTGGAGAGGTCGTCATAAGACCTGCCGTGGTCTTTTCCTTTGCTATGTTGAAAGCAACATTGCGGGATAACGTCAGTCGGATAACTCCAAGGGCTTGTCTGTCGAGAAGAGCCCAGTCTTAATTCTTCATGCCCTCTGGTTGTTTTCCTGAGAGGGGTTGATATAGATTTTTCTAGTATAGAAAATCTTCAATTTGCATCTTCCAAAATCCAAAGTCGCACCATCGAACTTTTCAATTTTCACCTTCCCTTCGTTGCAGCCATCGCTCCCACTCGAATTTGGCTTCGTTTGGATCGTTTCTGACAATTTTTGCGAACCGCCGTGTATTAGAACACCTCCGTCGACAAACTCGTATCGCCGACCGAATTTCACTATTCACAAAATTCACTATTCATGTGAATAGTAACCTCGCAAAAAATTGACAAAATTCACAACCCAAAAGCTTGATTACTAGTTGTTGGGAAATAAACCAAGTACAAGTAATTTCCCTATAACCAGATTAGTGAGAATGCAAAATAAAAACGGAAAAATAATACCCGAAATTGATAACGGAGTTCAACCAATTGTGCTTACGTCTCCGGACTACTGCAGATTTTTACTAAGAGAGAAAATTTACAGGTGTTTACAAAACACTCACTACTCACAATAAAACTCTCTAGTATTGAGAGAAAGAAATGATTTTTAGGATGATTTTGAAACTAAATGAGCTAGGATATTTATAGTTGAAACTTAATGACTTAATTTTGTAAATACCCTAAAACCTAGGGATTAATTGTGATTATCCCATTATCATTTTTCAACAAACATCTACCAAACTTTGAAAAACTATTTTTCAAAGAAACATTTACCAAACTTTGAAAATCATTTTCAAAGCATTTACCAAACTTTGAAAACCATTTTTTCAAAGGTGGTTACCAAACTTGAAAATCATTTTAATACTTTCAACAAAAGATGGTCGCGAACCGAGATTGGCCATCAGGAAAGTACCTGGCAGAAAGGAAGCGTGATACCAAGCTAGTAGGAGTTCGGATACAACGCCATAGCTGTTTGCCGACCATAGCCAAATTAAACTGCCGTAAATCATGAAAACCAAGACCCCCGGCACGTTTAGGTACACATATTTTTTCCCAAGCGACTAACGGCCAGCCCCGATCCGAGGGATCACCAGTCCACCATTACGAGCGAAGAGCAGCAGTATGATCATGAATAATACTATCAGGCAAAAGAAAGCATCCCATGACATAAGTCAGTAGAGCCTCTCCCACAGATTTTATGTAAACCGCCCTAATGTAGTAAGAGAGAGTGTGTTTGATCCAACCTCGAAACTCTCATTGACAGCTTATCTCGAAGGAACCCAAACGCAGTAGAATGATTACGACCAATGAGCAACGGCATACCCAAAGAACCAGCTTCAGAAACAATATTTGACTCCAAGAATGGAGGCCGAAGTAAACACTCGATTTGGCATAATTCACCTTTTGCCCAGAGGCACTTTCATAAGCATCAAGAACTGCGCTCATTCGGACAAATACATCAGGAGTGCAGCGCAGGAAAAGCAGACAGTCATCCGCATAGAACAGGTGAGTAATACGAGGGCCTCTGCGACAAACACGTAACTCTTGTAAACGACCGGCAGCCTGTTCAGCGTGGAGGAGAGAGGACAACCCTTGGGCTCATAACACAAAGAGAAACGGAGAAAGCGGGTCACTCTGTAGAAGGCCACGTTGAGGTTGGAAACGGGCTGAAAGGCTACCATTAATGCGGATTCGATATGATACAGAAGTTACACATGTCATGATCAACTCAACCCAGGATGGAGCAAAACCAAGACGGAGAAGGATACGTCGAAAAAAGACCCATTCCACTCGATCGTACTCCTTCTCCATGTCCAGCTTCAATGCCGCACCCCGTTTCGATAGGTTAGACCCAGGTCGGGTCTGATTTTAGGCCCCTGGTCTGGGATTTTTCAGTTGAGTCTGGGTTGGGTTTAAATTGTAAAAGGGTTGGGTTTGGTTTGGTTTGGTTTAGGGCCCGATTGGATTTTTGGGTCTGGTTGTAAAATAAATAAGATAAAAAAATGGTGATCACACTTATCTATACCAACTATATGTGTTGTTAGATTGTTAAACAGCTTAGGATTAATATCCCTAAGGTATTTTAATTCATTTTCAGTTTTCATTTTTTTGATCCTTACAGCTTTTCAATTTTTCTAGCAAGTACGATTCTTAAGAATTTGCATGCAGTGTATTTATTATAGGATCCCTCGTTTTATCATGAACTACTTCCATAAAAATCAATTCTAGGCTTGAAACTGTGCATACTTACCCATTAGGAGAAATATAATGGATAATATTTGCATTTGCAAAATCTTTTGGTATTAAGAACAATGGTCTTACTAAGGATAAAGGGTATGCTATCTTAATTCCGAAATTGTATTGCATCCTTCTGTCTTCTCAGAACAGTCAACATACACCCAAGTCTACTGCCATTGTACCGTGGTGCTGCTCCTGTACAAAGAGAACGTCAGGTTCCTTGCTATCAATTTCATTTTAATTATGACTGCTTTGACAATTCTCCTGTGATATACAACCATTCAGTTTTTTCATTAGGATGGTGTCAAAGAGACAGGAGTCTCATTAGCTTTTACTGTACGTGCCTTAGATGCTGGACCTGTCATTGACCGGGAGAAAGTCGAAGTTGATGACAAAATTAAAGTAAGGGTATTTATTTTTCCAAACTAATTCCTCAATCAGTAATCGCAGATTCGGTCTGTCATTAAATGGTCAGTTAATTAATATTTACCTTAGTAAAATTTTAAATTGCTCCAGAACAAGGTGCTGTGAACAATATGCATATGATCAAGTTTTACCATTATAAATGGAGTTTTCTTTCATCTATAATGCTTATTTACCTTTTCCCCCTGTTTGACCTTTTCTTGCTCCTGCCATATTTTTCAGTTTTAGATTACAAAATTAACATTTTGCATCCTGCACTATTTACAATATATAACCTCATAAATTAATTAATTTGATAAATGATTATATGATTTACATGCAGGCACCAGATCTTCTAGCATTACTATTTTCTGAAGGTGCTTCTATTGTCTTCCCTAAATTTTTCATATCTTGTTCTGCTTCATACCCAAAACAATCTTGCAGTTGTGACGAGAAAAAAAAAACTCTTGCAGTTTATCTACATCCCTCAAACAGCTTGGATGAAACTTATTGGTTGTAGATAGTATCATTAAGATTTATGAATCAGTCTAACTCTTCGATCTATTTTTATTTTTAAAAGAGCTCATACAAATCCCTTAACAGATATGCTATATATTTTTCCACATAAATTGTGTTGTTCTTAGGACGTAGACTGCTTTCATTTGCCATGCTCATATAATTTTGCGAGCATATAATAGTGATTAGTCTCAGGAATGAGTTCCTGACACCTAAATGATAAAACTATAAGACCTGCTTTCTTGTACTGAATCATAATTCTAATAGATTCTTTGTCCTGTATAGAAACTATATTTGGTGCATATAATCTAATAGACTATTTAGTGCAGTTACCTTCCTTTACCTGTTATATTTAATTTCCTCGTGGGGAGAAATCTCTCATCTTTATAGTATTCAAGGTCTAAACTTCTTGTACACAAACTTCCTTCCATATTTGATGGATCTCCGAAAGTGAATGCAGAACCTCAAGATGATTCTAAAGTTACCTTGGCTCCAAAGGCAAGGGTTCCATTCTCTTTAATTTCTTTATCTATTCTCCAAGTGTCATTCATATGAATTATTTGAATATTGTTGCCTCTTTGGTGCATCTACATTATATATTTCCACATGATTGCTACTCGCTAATGGCATGTGTAGTTTATGTATGTTCATAAATTTCGGTATGCAATTATTAAAAAATATCGGTGTGCTTCCAAATATTTGGTACTATTTATTACATTCTCTGCATCTTCAGTTTTTTCATGTAAAACTAAATTAAAACTTTGATACCTTGTAATGGCTACAGTCTGCACGATGGGGCCTATGGTTTGCTATGTTAAAGTTTAACTGGTTTTGCTTCTTGTTCATGAGTAAACAATGTTAAACAATTTGTTCCATCGTGCATTTGGTGACTCTATGAGTACATAGTTTTGCTTAATTTTTTTTTCTAATATAAGCAGATAAGTCCGGAAGAATCTTGGCTATCCTTTGATGAAGAAGCTGTAGTTCTATATAGTATGGTTGGCTTCTCTTCCATTTTCTCTGAATCTCAGAAGTCATGACATGCAACTTGTTTAGGTCCGTGCATTTGCAGGTTGGCCAGGAACCCGAGCTAAAGTTTTAGTTGTTGACGTCAAAAATAGCGACCGTAACACCCTGGAACTTAAAATCATCACTACAAGAGTAGGGCCTGATGATGAAATTCAGGGCAATGATGTAAATGACATTACTTCTGTCGATGATGCATTGGTGTTTCCCCGTGAAGGACGTACTACTCTTGAGGTATGCGAAAATCCCGTGTTTCCAATGGATGTTTATTGGTATTGTTGGCTATGTTTTATTTACCAAGAAACCTTTCCAAAAGCTTAAACCGTATCCTACAACCGAGAAGAACGAATGCTTTTTTATCTTATGTTTTAGTTTCTTATTGATTTACTGGTCCTGAAACAGGTATTGGAGGTTCAACTTCCTGGTAAGAAGGTGACAACTGCAGCAGCCTTTTGGAATGGTTTACGTGGTCAGAAACTGAAGATACTATAACTGAGGAGCCATTTTGTCTTCATTTCATTCATACATAAAACGGTTCTTTCAAGCAAATTCCTCAGTTTTTCTTTCTTTCTTTTTTTGTTGAAACATTTAAGCGAACTCGAAACCTACATTTTAAATTAGATAAAATGTATCGGGTTATATGCTCCAAGTATTTTTTTAATAACTGTGATGATTATAATGTAGTATATGTTAAAAATTTTCAACATTGTGTTTACACCCTATAGACGCTACTACTTGAATCGAATCTTCTAGGGAGAACAATATTCCCTTGTATCACTCAATATACACATCTGGTATACAAGTGATGAAATTCCTCAGCCTGTTGTACAGTTTTCATACTTGTCAGTGTAGATAATATACAACTCTCTCAAGATTTAGATGAAAAATATAACACAAGAAGATAAGAACACACGTATGTATTGTTGCTTTCTACAGGAATCTTCAATGAAATGGAAAGAAAATTTGGTATTTCTTTCTTTCCTTGATTCCTTTTTGTTTTGGTTACTTGGGTTGAAAGGAATGTAAAGAGAGAAAATGAAAAGAATTTGGACGATAGCACTCGCTATATCTAATTTAAGCTTAATTCACTCATTGATATTTTAATCATATCATTTTTTCTAAATTTTTTCCTTCCCGGAACTGAACGATGATATTAAATTATGTGGTTTGGACATGAGCACGTTGGGAAAGTGTGGGCCAAATTAAAGCATTTGCCCATCAAATCAACCTATGCCAAATACACCAAAATTTACCAAGGAATATGCAACCCACCGCTATTAATTTTAAGCATATTATATTAAGGAAGGGCACATTGAGCTTCATATTTAAGCAAATATGAAGTTGAATGGAAGATGGGATAGGGTGACAGAGACCATCACTGATTCTCTTATTCTTCAACATTGTTAGGCTTCGGGCATCTTATAAAGTCTTCACTTTCTCTTTTTCTCTATCACCACCCAAATAATTGGTTTACTTCTTTTGATCTGCAAATCCCCTATTTACTTCCTCAAAAGAGATTATTTATTGTAATCCAAGATTTGTTGCATTCTCTGGGTTGTGATTTGTGTTTAGAAGAGATCTCCAGAAGTTTTGGAGCATGATTCGATTTAATCTCCCACAGACGCGATTTGCTGAACAGACACAATTATGAATAAATCAATTTCACCCACCAATGATTGAGTCCAATTCCCCTTTTGAATTTGAAGCAAAAATATTAATATGGAATCAACCAGATGACATTATTATTGCTATTTTAATTATTATTCAAACCCAAACCAAAATTTTGTAAAGTATGGTTTGTGGGATTACCTTTTGTTCCTTTTATATATATATTACTTTTCATGCTAACCGGCATTATCTTCTGGACCTAATCTTTTTCAAACGTAGGCATATGAGATGAGATGAAGGGTCTTAAGTATCTACTGTTTCCTTTATTCTATTTCCGATCTCTTTTCTGTATAAATAGCAAGTTTCAAATTCTCATTACCACGTCCACTGTCCACATTCCTTTGGTTTTCTTTTCCTCTCTCAACTCTCTGTTTTGTGTATCTTCTAGCTTTCTGCAACAAACATGGGGGCTCTCGATTATATTTCAAACTTTTGCACTGTCTCCGAAAGGAGGAGCAAACGCAAGCCATTGCAGGTACCTTTTTTCTTCTTCTTCTTTGAATCAACATTCAATATATCACCTGCAATACTCCACTTTCCTACTAACTCTTTCAAAATTTCCCAGACAGTTGAAATCAAGGTTAAAATGGACTGTGATGGCTGTGAAAGAAGAGTCAGAAATGCTGTCACCAACATGAAAGGTCCAATTAATCCGACCCCCACTTTTTCATAGCATCGTTAACATCTCCATACTTACTTCGCATTAGTTGTATCTGTTAACAGGCGTAAAAACTGTCGAAGTAATCCGGAAACAAAACCGGGTGATAGTGAACGGGAACGTGGATCCGAACAGGGTGTTGAAGAGGGTGAAGAGCACGGGGAAGAGGGCGGAGTTCTGGCCGTATATCCCACAGCATGTGGCCTTATATCCGTATGCGACGGGGGCGTATGACAAAAGGGCACCTGCGGGATTTGTTCGGAACGTGGCGCAAGCATACCCGACACTTCTTCCAACGCCCCCGAAGAGAAGTTCGCCACCTTCTTCAGCGACGATAACGTTCATGCGTGTTTCATCATGTAGGGTGAAATTGGTGGATTTTTGACGACCGTGTGCTGTTTATATTCTGTAACAGTTTCGGTTCATTGGGAAATATATTAGTTAAACCTCTTTTAAATAAATTAACTTGGTCTATTTCTGGTTTTTGGTCCCTCCGCTTAAGTTTGACATAATTTGGTTATGGTCAAATTCTCTCATTCATTTCATTATATATATAAATATAATTTTAAATTTGTAGTCTTGGCACAAATAGTATAAGAACAATATGATTGAATTCTTAACTCAAAATGGTCAAATTGGAGAATAAGAATCAAATCTACAACTTACTAATACACTTAGTAGCATAATTTAACAATTGTTATTTGGATCATGCTCAAAGTGTTTAAAATTTGAAAAGCACAGGGATTACACATGGCCATATGGAACCAAGGCTTTGCATAGAAATAAAATTGAATGGATAAAAAATCAAAGGGAGAGATGGAAAATATTTTTTTCCTTCCATTGATGGAAAATTAAAGGGAAATAAAATAATAATAAAAAGAGTAATAATGGAAGAAAATGAGCTATTTTGAAGATGGAGGGTAGTGAAGCATATGATTCTTGCTCCCCACCTCAAACGGGTGGTGGTGGACTGTTTTCAGCATCTTTTTTACCTATACAATGCCAAACACAATATATTGTCATGTTCCTTCAATTTGCATATAATAATTACATACACGTGTTTACTTTTATATATGGATGGAATTGTAATTTTATGAGTGAAAGTTTTACCTATACACGTGTATAGGGCCTCCAACGTCCTAATCCCGGCGTTGCACCTCTACAATTTGTTTGAAGTTTGGATTTTCACAAAATATGTATTAACTATTTCTACTTTGAGATCAATTCAGACAAAAGTTGATATATAATTCAATTATACCATTCGTAAGTAGATCCTAATATTTTAGTCAGGATCCGTTCATAAATAGTATAAAACTTCTAATTATACACATTTTTAGGGTTATTGAATGAGTGAAAATAAACGGTTGAGATTAATAGTATGAAATGAAAAGATATTTAAAGGAAACACAATAAGATAATTTAAATCGTCTATTTTCACTCATCCAACTCCAAAAAATATAAAACTAAAAAGATTTACAAGAAAGCAAAAAATCTTACCTATAATATATACTTCCGAGTGATTTCAATATATTTCAAAATATTAAAAGGTGAGTAAAAAATCAATAATAAGATATTATACAATAACGTCGAATTTAGATTTTGAAGATGACAATAATTACAATCTTAATACGTGCTTAAATTTCTAAACAAAAAGTCATGTATTGAATATAATTATATATTTGGCAATAAAATAAATTAAACCATCATAAAATTTATATTCGTGTAACCTCTAAAATTCTTAAAGAAATGTTAAGTTTAAATGGTTAAAGCATTATAAACAGAAGCTATACAGAAACCTAAAAAGAAACAAGAAAAACAAAAATCGACTGCCCTAATGGCAAGCATAGCTTTCACAATTTCAACGACATCTCCCTAAATTTTGGCTTTAAAAATCTAATGGAATGACGTATATACAAATATTATTTATTCAATTAGTGGTAGTTATAAATTTTCAAATAGCAACACCAATTAGGTATGATCTTATCTTAAATAAAATATTATATTTAATGCAAAAGACAACAGAATTAATACAAGCTTTTGGTCTTCAATATAACCATATAATTATATAGTGGGGATTTAGAATTAGTATTATAAAATTTAACCATCATTACTTCGGCCGATAAGCATGTGAGGGTCACTATAAAGAAGTTTATTGGAAAAAATTAAAGCGCAGCACCATCCTTTTCTTGTAGATTTGATATAATCTTCGGTGAAGCTTCTCTTAAAGACCATTTTTGACATAGTTCCCAAGGTTTTTATTAAGAAAAAAGATCGAATAATCCACTTATCAATTTCCCAATAAATAATGGGTGTGTCTAAATGTACCAAATCTTTTACTAAACATACCAATTCTTTTAATAGAATAATAGAAAAGGAGAGAGAGGGCATCATTTTTATTTCTTTATTATATTTTAATAAATGTGTAGGGTGTATGGGTGACAAAGAAATAAAAATGGGCAAATGGGTTATGTTAATGTGTAACACACGGGTTGGGTGTTATTCGATCAAAAGTCTCATATCTGTTATAAATTTGTTTGATTAAAAATATTTGTGATACCTGAAATTCAAAGAAAAATAAAATTAATATGTAACAAAAAATAAAATAAAATTGAAATTGATATAATTTAAACAAATCAGAACCTACTATTTTTTTATTATTTTAATATATATATTCTCAATTCATATTTTTCTGATTTAACTCAAAATATATAAAAATGTCGAAGATATTTTTTGTTATTAATATTTAACTCTTCCTTACGACTAACATATGTGTCTTCTCATGCAGATGCAATGTCACTTTTATATTCTAACATTAGTCATATCATCTAACGGTTAATAACACGATGGCCAAAAATCAATGGATGAGATGGAATTACGCACGCCAAGCTCAAACCAATGTGCGATAGGGGTGTGCAAATCCGGGTCGGTGATTTCTTGGTCCGTGTCCCGACCCGAATGTTCCGGCTACCTAAATTTTGCGGGTACCCCGATACCCAAATTTTTTTCTTTAAATTATTAAATTAAAAAACACACACAAATTTAAAGACTAAAATCACTTGAAAATCAATAAGTATTCATATTTTATCAGATTAACTGTTAAATATTATTTTATGTTTTTTAAATTTAAATATTATGTTTCATGTGAAATTCTAAATATCACGAGGTTTTATTTAATGGGTAGTGAGATTTATTTATGATAAATTTTAGTGTGGTGGATTATTTAAAATAATAGGTAGCGGTTTGACTTA